CAGCAGGAAATGTTTTATGAAGGATAAATGCAATTCTTGACCCTTTGCTTTATTACCACTCACAGCCTGGACATTGTTGTGTGGTCGAGAGCCATAGACACATGCCTCACATGTGAGCACCTTCTGTTTGCATTTCTCTGTTTTCTCTCACAAGTACAGTGATTTGAGTCATGTCTGGTACCTATTGGTATTTAACACTTTAAGTTGTCACTACCTACACTAAATTATGCAAAGGTGAAAGTAACCAAAAAGTATCCCTGTGAGACAGGTACATACTGTTGGCTATTAAACATGAAGGCCATGGCACGGAAAGACAAAAGCAAAACTGGGTCTTTTAAAGGGAAGGGAAAAAAACAACCCTTAGATTTAATGTGTCAGGTAGATTCTTAAGGACTAAAGTTTATGAGAAGATTCTGCATCTATGAATAAAGACCTAGTTTTCTTGACTTTGAAGACTGGGCTTTAAATAACTACAGTGTCATCCATTTTGTCTCTTCTGCATGTTCCTGTGTGTTGTGTAGGAAGGAGTAGGGGAAACCTGAAGTGCTGGAATTTTCTTTGCAGGTTTGTTTTACGACATGTATCTTTTTCAACGTTGCACACTTCAGCTGAAGTGAAAAGCAAATGGAAATCTTTGGCATTTCACTTTTGGTTGCCTAGTGTTTATTTTGATTTTATTCTGTGCCTGCAATGAGAATAAAACAAGGAAATAAATCGTTCTTCAGTTTTACTGGTGCATAAGTTCAGTGTGAATCGCCATCTAGTGTATGTTTAAGACATAGCATAATTACAGAGACCTTTTTAAATCAAGATGATAAAGTATCCTTAAAACACTTTCTAACTAGTGGCATTTTATTTCTGTAAGCAAGGAAAATAAAATATAAAATGTACATGAATCAAGAGATAGACATTTAGAAAAGGGCTGGCAATTGAAAGTTAGAGCTATGATACAAGGTTCATTCACCAGCTGACAAACAAGAGGGCAAAGATAATGAAAAAATCTGCACAATCTCTTTGCCAGAAAAGGAGGAACACTTACTTTAAGAATCACATATAATAATGGGCGAGAATGGGGAGGCATACAACCTATTTATTCAAGCTGGTTTGCATTAGTTTATTCAACACCATGAACTAGACAGCATGGCTGTTTTAAGATGTATTCTCTTTCATTTCAGATGAGTGATTTCTGTGGCTGTACATCTGATTTTTTCCCCCATATCATTTATCATGAGACCATTTATTAAATCATGGATTCCTCAGTGTTTGCGGATTCTCGGGTCACCTTGCAGATTATTCCATGGATGCAAAAGGCTTCTTACATCTCAGATTATTTCATACTATGACTCTATAAACCAGTGTAAAAAGGAACTGCCAGAATATTTCAACTTCGCAAGTGATGTCTTAGATAAGTGGTCACAACTGGAAAAGGTATTATTTTTCTTTTACTTCACAGACATTGGAACAAATCTCAGATGATACAAACTAATTTTCCTGATAGATAGTGGGTAATAAAAGCTGCAGAGTAGAATGCACTCTTTTATTTTCTTTGTCAGAAATATAGGTACCACTTTAAAAGACTAGTTTCCAGGGGTTATTTGCTTAGTCTGGAGCTATTTTTGGAATGACATTAAGGATTAATGTCCTTTTAAGGATTGTCTTCTTAGTTTATTATCTTCTATTGCATTCTAGGATGGAAAACACCCAGCAAATCCAGCATTTTGGTGGGTAAATGATGAGGGAGAGGAGGTGAAGTGGAGCTTTGAAGAGCTGGGATTTCTGTCTAGAAAAGCAGCTAATGTACTTTCTGAGGTATGCGGTTTGCAAAGAGGAGACAGAGTTGTAGCAGTCCTGCCTCGTGTTCCTGAATGGTGGCTACTGAATGTAGCCTGTATCCGGGCAGGTGAGTAACCTTACTGATCTCTTGGATGCAGAAAGAAAATAAATAGTAGATAAGAAAAATATACTAAATTAGTTTGAAAAAAATGTAACCAGGAATGTGCTTCTGTGCCATATACAGTTCAGCTTTTGCCTAGAAGAATTGGCAGTGCCCACACAGGACCAAAGTGATATTGCACTAGGTGCTGAACAGACATGGCCCAGTTAAACAGTATCCTCAGCTGAAGCCAGTGAAGGTTGCATGGTTACAATCTAAGGCCAAATTTGACCAGATATGTTATCAGTGTGGGCATTTTTCATGCAGTAAGTTAGACTAGACTGGTTAATAATTCAGTACAGTGTGGGGTTATTTTTCTCTGCTGTTACAGTTTAGCAAATTCTTAGGAAGAATTTGACTCATTCCATTTTTAGAATGATGCACATCCATGATGGAACAATTCAGCATCAACAGGGACATGATCAAGTATTTTTGTCCCACTTTCAAGCTCTGTGATTCTTGTGTGTTGTAAATGGGACTCAGGGATTCCAATTCTATCATATCTGGACTACTGGATTTTCTGGACTACGATGTGGGAATAACATGCAGTATCTCAGTTTCCCAATTGTAAAATTTGGTAGACACCTCTGAAGGTGCAAGAAGACTGAAATCAATCTGTAGATCAAGTCTATTGAAATTCTTGGTGAAAGGAGGTACAGAAATGTACTAAATGGATTTTTTTTTCCTCTCTTCTGAAAGTGTGATTTCAGTCACATTATACTCAGTATCAAAACCTACATTTGTTCATACTACAAAATTAATCCAAGCTTCACGGGTATGTTGACTGGGCAATGTATGTGAACTACCTGACCTCAATCTGTTTATCTCATATCAGCAGTATTGATTCCTTATTGAAATAAAGAATGGCTTTATTCCAGACATAAATATAACCCAAATGCTGGCCATATTCATGTACTTAAGGAGATGATAATCACAGCACTACCTTCCTGAGTTATGAATCATGAAGTACTCAAAACCACCTTAAATCTAGATCTTACTCATGATCTAGATACCTTTAATATGGATGATACAAAAATTCAACATCAGTGTTGCAGGGTTTGGAGGTCTTTCAGAGCCAGATGATCCCAGGTCATTTCTAGGCCACGAATTCAGCCACGCTCTGCCTGCAAACATGACTTATACTTGACTCCTCTTTCTTAAAGACTAAATTTCTCGCATGTAGCTCTGCTTTTCTATGGCTGAGGTCATGTCCTGTGAACATAATAAAAAGAAATGGTACATTTTCTAAATTGCTTGTTTCTTTCTTCCAGGAATTGTCTTTATTCCAGGAACATCTCAATTAACAGCCAAAGACATCTTATACCGACTCCAGGCTTCGAAGGCCAAGTGCATAATTACCAATGATACACTGGCACCTGCAGTGGAATCTGTCATGCCTGACTGCCAGTTTCTGAAAAGCAGACTAATTGTAGCCAAGGAGAGCAGAGATGGGTGGCTGAACCTCAAAGAACTCCTTGCGTGAGTATCCAGCTGTTTCACCATCATCCCTGTGAGGTGAAGGAAGCTGTATCAGTCAGGTGACATTGCTGAGTTCTGGGATTAATTTACAAAATACAAATGAGTTACATTTTTGCATCCCTCTGCCAACTCCCTGTAATCACTATATTAAGCACAAATTCCTCCAACATGCTTTCTGGGAGCATTCAGGTCTTTCAGCTCCTCCTTACTGAGCAGCCTGCCAACTTTTAAAATGCTCTCTGCTTCTACTGTAATCACAAGACAGGCACACAGAGTACTAATCTTGCAGATGTTTTGTGCTTGTCTTCTAGACGCCAGCCTAATGTCTCTTGTATCAATGAGGAGATACATACTTCCAGCTCTTGGTGCTCAGCTAACACGGCATCAATTATTTCTTCCCTTGACTATCTTGGTAGCCCAGACTACTGTGTGTCTAAGATCACTTTACCTGGCATTACAGCCCTCATGGATTTCAGAGATGGCAGATGGAATGTATTGAAGCAAAAGTTGTTTTTGTTGTTTTTGCGTCTACCTGCTGTTCCATTGCAAGCACCTTGAGTGCCCTTGCCAAAGAGTTGTAGACAAAGTCACTGGAATATTCTGTAGGTGCTCACATATTGAAAATTATGGTATACAGAGCATATTTGTGACTAGCAAAATGTACTCTCTAACTCTTATGTGTGGTACCTGTAGTGAGGTTGGGGTCATTTTCCTGTTTATGACTTAAACCTTATGAAGTGCTGCTTCATTTGTGGAAAACTAGATGTAGTAACCCTGATTTACTATTTCTTCTGAAGGGCAACATCTGCTGACCATAAATGTGTCAAGACAAGGAGTCAAGACCCAATGCTAATCTATTTTACTAGTGGAAGTACAGGCTCTCCAAAAATGGTGGTACAGTCCCACAGCAGTTACGGCATTGGATTTGCAACCAGTGGCAGGTATACATTTCATGTGCTCCCAGTGTCCTGATTAAGTGACATGATCACAATTAAATTGAAAATGTGACTTGTAAAAACTCCAGTAAATATAGGGATTTCATGAGTGCATGGTCTTGATTCTTCCTCACATCTCCCCTCTCACGGTGAAACCCTCGCTATTAAAAGCGTATTGAGAACTCAGTTGAGATTATCGAACACGGCATTCTGTTGCTTTGCTGCTCTGCAGACTGCAGAGAAGCAATAAGAATAGCCTCCTTATAGCAAATCTACATAAAGTTGAGTGCTATAGTATTATGTAAACCTTCCTCAAGAACCAAAGCAACTTTGGACCATAGCATTATACCTTAGAAGTTATAGTTCAGCTTGAATCTGTGGCTTTGAATCTGTGGGACTGATTTGCTTTCATTGACTTCTATTTATGCTTCCCCGGGAGTAAGAAATTTCATGAAAATCAAAGGATAGCCATCCCAAGGCATTCTGAGTTGGAAGATGGTGGTACAGAGTCCATAGGAGTAATTTGGTTAGTTTCCTAGAGAAATAAGATGTTATTTAGCTGATGTCTCTAATCCACAAGGTAGAGAAAGCCAAATGACTTGTACAGTTTTTGATGTAGATCCAGAGTCAAGCCAAGGATGTTTTTCACTATTCAGGAGGAAAACAAACACTGGAAATGTTAAACAGGAGGGAATGAAGGGAAATAAAAGAATGGTCAAGATTCTCTTCAACTCTTACAAACTTTCTAAAGAGCCCCAGCTGCTGACACCACATCTGCTACTGGAAGCCTTTTCCTTTAATTATGCTGTGACCTGTACTTGAATCTGTCACACTCTGTGAAGCATTTTCTTCATCTCTGCTTTATCATCAGGTACTGGTTGAACTTGACTCCTTCAGATGTAATATGGAATACCTCTGATACTGGCTGGGTAAAGTCAGCCTGGAGCAGTGTTTTTGCACCATGGATCTGTGGATCATGTGTCTTTATTCACAATATGCCACAATTTAAATCAGCAGTTATTGCAGAGGTGAGCATTTTATACTGTTTTATTTCCATTTTGCCTAAATGAAGCAAACAAGCTGAGCTCCATTGCATGAGTACCCACTGGTCTGTAGCAGCGGGCATAGTACTTCCCACATTCCGAGGAATCATTCCTCCATTTGGTACCCAGTAAGTTAGGGGAACAAGGGTTTTTCCCTCCTTTTTAGCCCATGTTACATGGCTACAACATAGAGATGTGGTGAAAGATGCAGCATAAAAAGAATTCAGCAACACTGCTGTCTTGACCCATAGTTAGCCTAAAGCTCACCTCAGGTATGGACTTCTATCTACTTTGGGCTCAAGGTGAGCATGGACCAGTAATTGGAGTATGGCATAAACCAGAATCAGAACCCTGTTATGGTGAATTTTCTATTAATTGCCACGATGTATATTTCTCCTCTTTGCCATTTCACAAAACCAGGCCTGTCTGTTTTCCTCAACACTGGCCTCTTTTGTGGAGAGGAAACCCAGACTTCCTTAAGAATAAAATTGAAAAAGCTATAGTCTAGTTCACTTAGTCTTAATCGTGGGACACAATTGCCTTGGGAGTCAGAAAACAATCTTAATTCGAACTACTACTCTCAGTGGTCATTAATTTACATGAGTGATTTTGTTGAACAGAAAGCACTGTATTTTCTGCAGGAGTGAGACTGACTGGTACAGCCACTCTGCAGTCAGGACTCAGTCATTAATCTATAGTCATTCTCTGTGTTGAATGTATGTTGCATTTTTATAGTTTTCATTTTGCAGACATTTGAGCACATAACTTGTGTTAATCACCTCCACATTTACAAGGTCATATCCACCATTACATTTTCTTTTCAACAACATAACTTTCTGTTTCTCTAGACTCTTTCAAGATTCCCCATCACTGTCTTTTGCACTGCTCCCACTGCCTACCGCATGCTGGTGCAACATGATTTGAGCAGGTACTGCACATCTGTCTGTTGCAGGAGTACCAGAGAGAGAGGCTGGGATATAGTGCTATGACAGCTCTAGCTGTTTAGTTCCTTATGTTGCTTAATTTTTTTCAATTAAAGGAAACCTAATTAGCAAAATTTTCTTTCAGAATAGAAAGCTATGTTCTGAAATATGATAATAATTAGTCATACTGTAGGCCATTCAGGCTTCAGGAATGGGTTTTTGAAAAGACAGCACGGAAGAAACAAATGCGATATTTTTTTTTTAAGTTGCCACTTCCTCTGTACTTACAGTTCACAGTTAAACTTAGTTTAAGGTTGCAGACAGCACTGGATGAGGCAATTACTGGAGTACAGTGGAGTTGTTCCCACATACTTGAGAATGAAGTGAACAGTAAGAGGACTTTCACCTGCTGAGTTATTTGGCAGCTGTTCCCACCAGTTTGTTACACTGTAAAATACTCAGCTTATGAAGCATAGTTAGTGTGACTTGTAAGGAGTTTTCACACCTTAGGTAAGGTACTTATTCTTCTCACGTATTTCTTTCATCCTGACAAAAGCCAGCCCTGGTTTAGCAGAGAGCTCGGGCTCTGTGTTCGTAATCAGTCTTCCTTTTGCTATAGAAAATTCTCAGTGTCTTAACTCAGCATTCCACAAACATCTGATGTGCTTGTTCAGATTTCTCCTTTCTTGTCAGCTTTTCCAAGAAAACACCTTTGCTCAACTCTTTTCAAAAAAAAAAATCCCTACTTCCAGTGACACAGAAGTTTTATGCGTACTTACTTTGAAAGTAGCAGGAGGCTGCCTAGTTACCATTCAATGCTCTTTTCAGAAGTTAAAAAAATTATTTCATTTGCTATTCTTCTCAAGCTACAAATTCACGAGTCTGAAACGCTGTGTATCTGGAGGGGAACCACTCAATCCTGAGGTGATGGCAAAGTGGAAAATCCAGACGGGGCTGGATATCTATGAAGGTTATGGCCAGACAGAAACAGTACGTTTGTATTATTTCCTGCAGTATGCCTTTTCAAAGGTAACGATATCAGAGCCACAGTGTGCTTGATAAATCAATGGAAAAGGTGAGAATAATTTAAATTAACATTTTTAAAAAGAGGCTTTACATAATTATGACTATATAATTCCAAAATCAATTAGCTGCATATTGTCATATTTGTAAACAATACTATATCTACAGAGTTCAGTCCCCTGCAGAAACTGCCAGAGATTACCTCAGATCAAATAACTTATAGTAGATCCTTTCATCAGCTTTACTTAAAAGGCAAAACTGGAAAAAAAATTGTTCTGGGTACCAATCTGGCCTGTTCAAGTTTTTAATGAAAAATATTAAATCAGTTCACATTCCAGACTTCTGTGTAAGTGAACATTAACGAAGCTATTAAGAGTCAGATTTCAGCATTCTCTATTCTTACCCTTGATATAGTCCCAAATTACTTGTCCCATTATTGAAAAAAGATCTGTAATAATTTAACACCTGCTGTCTTGCAAATTCAAGCATTTACAGAAGAACACACTGCCTCAGACTGAGCATAAGCAACCTCAGTCCACACGGATGAAATAAAACACCTCTCAACTCCTCTTTGATGTGCTGGAGCACCTCAGTTAGTCCTGATTCAGTCCTTGTCATGACAAAGTCATGAAGAGGTGTCATACCTAATATGAGCCAATCATAAAGTCTACAAGATTGCACAAATTAAAACAAAAACATGTATCTATTATGCAGGTAACAATATGTGCCAATATGAAAAAAATGAAAATTAAACCTGGCTCTTTGGGAAAAGCTGTTCCCCCTTATGATGTGCAGGTATGTTACTGTGTTACATCTGAGCTCAGCTGCAGCTGTGGGTCCACGAGTGAGGGAACACTGTCTGTGTCCCTCTGTCCTTCACTGTGCTGTAACACTGACACTTCACTGAGCAAAGCAATGGTGATGTGTCTTTTCTGCAGATCATAGATGACCATGGAGCTGTTCTGCCTGCAGGAGAAGAAGGCAACATTGCTGTCGACCATTCTGTATATTCTCTGAGTACTTGGTAAGTTTGAATTGGCCTGTCTGTGCATACTGAGAAGCTCAAGAGAGACCCTCTACTGTTCGCATGGGAATGCTCTACCCACTGAACAGGCTTTTAAAAAGTGTCAGAATGATGGCTGGTTTAGTTCATGCCAGAGATCCATCTAAGCTAATATTGCATCTGTGGTGGTGCCGAGTTGTACTACATACTTAAGAAAACACTAGAATCAGGCAAATATTCTCCACTGCATTTGAACAGTCATGTTGAAAAAGCTTTAGGGAACCTGTTTGTTTAATTCTTTTCTTAACCTCCTTAATATTTTGATATTTGTAGCATCCCCAAACAACAATTTGCACAAAGTAATTGCTTACTATGTGATTAAAAAAAACTTCTTTTGGTTCAGTACTATTACTTCAGTTTTTCATTATCTGTTGTAAAGGTGCTTTTCCTGTGTAATATAAACCCAATAGATAAATGTAGAGAATGAAGCTTTTTCTGTAGGTCACCTCATATGTGTTTTGGTCTTGAAGGTTAGGGGTGAAAAATTTCCATTGACAAGAAGTTATTGTGGCACCCTCCTGCAATATGTCATTTTTCTGAAGAGAATGGGTTATAGGACTTAGTAATTTGCTGTGATGGATGAGGATTTTGATAGACCACACAATTTTTTCCCTAGAACATGAAGTATGTACAAAAATGCTCTTTTCCACCTCTCACGTTTCCACCACAAAACTGCTAATTAATTCAGTTCTATTTTTTTAATTGAAGGCATAAAATAGTATTGGACATACTAATTTTGAGAATAACTTAAAAAAAATCTTGATCATTTTTAGCACTGCTGCAAAACAGGTGCATTACATTTCACTGACAATCAGATAATTATTTTGAAATGTTTAATTGTTATCAGGATAATCCAGAGAAAACGGCTGCCTCTGTGTGTGGAAACTTTTATGTTACTGGGGACAGAGGAATTATGGATGAAGAAGGCTATATCTGGTTTGTTGGAAGAGCTGATGATATAATTAATTCTGCTGGGTAAGTCAGTTGCTTTTGGATTTGCTCATTTGCCTGTTAATGATGCTCTGTTTTATCACAAAATTCAATCTGGAAAGGCAGAATGAATGGCTAGCTTGCTACAGCTGTCCTATCTGCATCTTCTCCTAGGTATCGTATTGGCCCATTTGAAGTTGAAAGTGCATTAATACAACACCCGGCAGTCTCAGAGTCAGCTGTTGTCAGCAGTCCTGATCCAATTCGTGGGGAGGTAAAAAGAATTTTAAAAATATATAGAAAGAAATACACTTTATTCTAAGCATCAAGTTCCCTATGTGTTCTAGGCTTCCTTAATTCCTAGGAATTAAATATGTTGCAGATTTTTAAAATTCAAGTGCCTTAAAAAAAATTTAAAACTGTATGGATCTTAGGATTTCAGAATTATTGCCTATTTGCAGGGTTTGATGCGAAAAAACTGTTTTGCTCTTCAAATTTATTGTGGCGTCTTTGTGTCTAAGAAAGAGAATTTGGATTCTCTTTTTGTCACTAAGCACATGGTAGCAATAATATCTAGTGTGTTTAAATTTCTCTGTTTATAGTTTTCAACTTTACAACATTTCTTTGAGCTCCAGGGTGAGATTTTTCAGCTTTTTTTCTGCCCTACAACTTTTTGAAAGTGTATGAAGTTAAGAAGAAGAAAAAAAACCAGGAAAAACAGCAAGAAGTCCTATGCTGCAGAATATGTCTTCCTTAACATTGCATTCTGCAAAAAATAGCCAATGGAAAAGGAAATTAAAGAAAAAAACTAAAATTTTTGCATTTCCGAGTTTTGAGTATCAAGCAAATATATCCCTTTATTCCCATGTCTGAAAGATAATGGAGGCCCTTTTGTGGCACAGGTAGTCAAAGCCTTCATTATTTTGGCTCCTGCTTTTGTATCACACGATCCAGAAAAATTAACTGATGAGCTTCAGCAACATGTCAAGAAAGTGACTGCACCTTATAAGTATCCAAGGAAGGTAAGTACACCAGAAACAGACAGGTCTTCTAATTGTGACAAAAATTAAACACTGTTTGTCCTGCCCCAGCTTCTTTTCAACTACGTTCTGACAAACACCCCATTCATAGTTAAATAAAATAAAAGTAAATATAATAAACTATGTTATTATAAAATAATAGTAAATTACTCTAACAGTTATAGTTGCAGCTATAGACTTGAGTTCACTATGTGTGCTAGAAAGGACCCAAAGGGAGGAAGTGGTAGTGTCACTTATCTTTATGAGGTTCCAGTCTTCCTTTCGTGAAATGCTGGGACTTCCATAGCAACTCAAATGGACATGGTGGTCAGCTTTTGCCAGTTCCTCCCTTGAGCTCTGTTCAGACTCTCAGCCAAAGCGAAAGGGAAAGTCCAGCTGGCATCAGAGGGGTTGGAATCCACCCCTTACAACTAGGAAAGACACCAGTAACTCCCTTTCCTGACAGCTGAAGAACTCACCTTTTCAAGATTGTGGTACTTACTTCTGCAAGCACTGCTTGTGCAGTTAGCTAAGATGCGTAGGAAGGAATTTCTCCATCCCAGCCCTGAGCTGCGCTGCTTGTCACCTTTTTACCCTAGCCATGATAGAAGTGTGGTTTTCCTTGCATCTGGGCATTTAATCAGAATGAGTGTGGCTAAAAGGGGGCATTTTTGCCTTGCAGATAGAGTTTGTTCAGGCTCTGCCAAAGACAGCTACTGGGAAAATCCAGAGAAAGGTTCTAAAGAACAAGGAGTGGGGAAAAGCATAACTTGATCTGGAAACTGAGAAGAGAAAATTTCCATCATCCATACCAGCCATAGCACATCACACTTGGCATGTGATCATGACTCAGAGCACTAGAATATATGGAAGAAGCGACTATGGAAAATAAAGAGGACACTCCTGCGGCTTGATGAAGTGTGATGATGTGAGAACCACTTTTGCCATCAACCTACACATTTTCAGAAGAGAGAAGTAACTAAGAATGAGAAATGGGAGACAGAAGGGTCAGATCTGGGACATCACCAAGGTTTAGGTTTTTTTACTGAATTTAGTATAAACAGCAGCTTCCTTAAAGAAATAAATCCAACTACAACATTTTGTTAATCACAAATAAATGAGAAATTAATAAAAATAGTCTTTGTCCTATAGTGGGTATCAGCAGTGACGTGTTACTCTTTTCAAAAACTATCACTGTAAAATTCCCAATTTCTTTCTGTGCAGAAGGAGAAAGACATATTCCGTAACTACTTCTCTTTGTCTTGATGAATTCATGTTTTACTTAAGTGGTTATAGTGGGAGAAAAGAGAAGATACAAAGTACTTTAGGTTAAGGTGCAAATTATGAACAGTTAACAGCATTGTAAATGATTATAAGAAACAATTTCACTCCATGGAAAGAATTGTGCTGCCAGGTCTGTTTAGCGATATGTTCTGTTCTCATTACTTCAAAAGGAGCAAATGTTAACGTAGTAAGGGCTTCACTTCAAATACTTTTTGATGGGCATGTCCTGGTTTCATAGCTCCAGATAAAGGCTAATCTTTACAGTGCCTCATTGGGAAACACAGGTGGAAGCTGGGTGAACCAGTGAAGAGGATCTACAGCAGCCAACTCTCAATCTACACTATCCACAGCAATCAGGTTGGAAAATGTTTGTCTGAATTCCTCGTGTTGCTAATCATTAAGAAGAAGCAGATGGTACTAAATCGGGAAAAACTATTTCTCATTCTTGGAGCAGTTTAGACGACTTTGCCATTATTGCGTTTTTTTTCCTCAATTTTCTATCTTCATTTTCACCTCTGAATTTGTAGGTGAAAGCATGCTACAAACTGTCAAAGGACTTCACAGCAAAACTTTGCAGGCATTTTCATAGAGGGTTTTGGATTTAAAACGGTTTTTGTCTCGCCAGTCTTTAATAGCATTTTCAGTTGTGAACACTGTTCCTGAATGTTCCTAGTCTTCTTTTTTCATTACAGGCTATTGTGTAGTTTTTATCATTGCAATGCTCTGAAATCTATAGATTACACCTAATAATAGAATTAGAGCTGACTAAGAAATGAGAAATAATCTTCCTATGATATTAAAAAGAATAATCAAAATAAGTAGGCTTTGCTGCTAAAGGAATGAAAGTGTATCCACTGGTTTTTAGTATTAATAGTGGAGGTCACAACCACAAAGAAAGGTTACATATAACAAAAAGCTTACTATTTTTACTGACAGTAGTTTCCTCAAGAAAAAAATAAAATCAATGTATATTTCACAATATGACATAAAACCCCGTTTGTTAACATCATTTTAATGTATTATTTAGGGAATATTTAAAGACCCTTTTTCACCAATAAAACCTTGTTTAGATTTTTTTTCCCCACCAGATTCTGTTCATATCTTTTTTATTTAAAACTTAAGTACCTTCTACATAAGTTTCTGCTCTATAATCATGATTCTGAAGTGCGTGGCACTTAAGGGCATAATAACAATTTTATATCTTGTCCTGTGATTCTTTCTTAGGAGGATATTATATCGTGTAGGATTATTTACAACTGGTCAGTATTTCTCTACCACCATCTCCATGTAGCATGGAGAACACAGTGAACTATTCCTGGTTTTCACAAATTATCTGTTTGGGGCGGGGAAGGGAATCTGCATCGAGATTTTCCATGCTGCCAGATAGCACTGAAAGGATTAAGCTGTGCAAATTCTACCTGTTTGAGTTCATTCACCTGATAGTCAAATTAAATATTACTGAACAGCTCCTGCTAAGAAACAAGGAAATAACTCCACTGTTTAATATGTTACTTTTTGACCAAAACTGAGATCTGTGCATCAGAGATAAAAGGATAAGTGGTTACGGTTGAAGACATGGGACAAGAGGTAAAAGAGTACAAAACAAAATCCTGGGACAAAGGGCAAAACTTTGCAGCTTTACTCAGGCCACGGAATTACTGAGTTTAATAACTTGTATTTACTGGTTGGATAAGGAAAATCAATAGCTAGACCCAGGTTTTAGAATTGTCATAGGCCCCCAGGATTCTGCTGACTCCTGCTCTGACTTTGGGCTTTTCCAGACACAAGCCACTTTTTGTTCCATCTTTGATAACCTTCATGTGGACTTATGAGAAACCTCTAAATAGCATTAAAATCTTTAAAGTTGAACACAGGTGTGAAGCAATCTTCTGGACTGCTGAAATAAATAAACAATTTAATAACAGCAACCACCAAAAAGACAATAATAAGTGTAGCAATGGAAAGGAAGAAAGCAATTGGACTTGAGCGATTTTAGGATCATAATGGGGAATACAGACAGAGGAAGGCATTTACTGCGAACAGACATGGAAATGTCAAAATCAAATTTGGGGACCTACGTAAGGGTATACTGAAGTGAAAGGTCTTGGGACATACGTAGTGAATGGATAAATTGGTCAGCAACTGTCCAATCTAAAGCAGTGAGAATCTTGATGGAAGTGATCTGGATACATTTTTCAGCTCCGTGTGAAGGAAAAGGAATAGAGAATCAGCTACTGAATGCTTAGGTGTAAGTACCAGTAACCTCCTCATAATGCAAACAATAGCATCAGATGCTATGTTTGGCTAAGGAGAGTTGTGGGCAATTAGCAGCCCCAGAGAACGTGTAAAAGAATCAGCTGAGCTACAGCCAGATCAGTGCAGCTCATTAAGTCCTTAGAAAGTGAGTGGTAAAATACAGAAGAAAGGAGGATGGGGAACTTCATATTTAATTGAACTGTTAAAAACATCAGTTTCCCTATGCCTAGCCTAAGCGTCTTCAGTTAATAATTCATCAATTAATAACTGAGTTTTCCAGTTTTCTTTGGATTATCTCAAGATTATTTTCTTCTTTTTTTTTTTTTGCAGTATTCATAGCAACAATTCTGCTGATTTTCTTACACAGTCTACAGCATCACCATACGTGATCTTCTGCTATGAAATTGTTTAAATTACAGAAACTAAAGTCCTTGTGGACTCTGAAGCCTCCTCATAGGACTTTCCATGGACACCCCAGGTTGCTTGTCTCTGATGTATATTCACAGTATGAGTCCATCAGGCGGGGCGAACAGGAAATACCAAAGTACTTCAACTTTGCAAGTGATGTACTGGACAAATGGTCTGAGATTGAAAAGGTAGATGATCTTTTGTTGTGCAGCTGAGACAGTTGAATTTATTTGAAAATAGGGTGGTTTCCTTTATAAAAAAATCAGTTGCCAAAACCAATTTGTATTAGGAAATTATGCAAAATCTCATTCTTTTTTACTTTATTTTAAAAGTGCCTCTGACCCTGTGTAGAAAAAGCAATGGTAAGTCCCTTTTGACTTTGATTTAACCTCAGGATAGCTGTGCTTATTACTTCTGCATACTCGAATATTGGATAGTCACACCATAAAAATACAGGTAACATACAATAACATTGTATGCCAGGGAAAATTCTCTCACAAACATTTAACTGCCTTGCTTCAAAGTGGATTCTACATTTGTCCAGATGCCTTGTAGTTAGAGATCACTTAACTCCCTTCTTCCTGAGCAATCAAGCTAGAAGGAGTCCTGGCGTGCTGCACTGTCCCATTGTTTTATTTTGTCCTCTGCCTGCGCTGCTTCTGTTTTAGTATTCCACAACTCCATCCAGAATATCAGGTGTATTATATAAAGTATTTTGTGTTATCTGTTATCTTTTAGGAGCATTAAAGCTCAGTATAAGGCTTAAAACTAAAATAGGATCCCAACTAGGACTTGATTGTGGAAACATTTGGGCTGGTAAACACTTCCGGCTCAGAAAAGGAGAATTTTTTTTTTTTAATATCTGAGCTTGATCCACAACAAATCTTTATCCATTAAGGACAAGGGAAAAATAATAGCTTATATGTCAATTGTGAAATACTCTGATTGTCTATAACCTGCAGACACTTGTGGATTATATTTTTATGGTCTTTCAGAAGAAAATAGTTTGGTTTTGAATCCCTGTGTCTTGTAGACTGGAAAGAGAACATCAAACCCTGCCTTTTGGTGGACAAATGGAAAAGGAGAAGAAGTGAAGTGGAGCTTTCAGGAGCTGGGGTTCCTGTCTCGGAAAGTGGCCAATGTGCTGACTAAAGTATGTGGACTGCAAAAGGGAGACAGAGTTGTTGTGGTCCTGCCACGAGTCCCAGAATGGTGGCTGGTGAATGTGGCTTGCATGCGAGCAGGTCAGTGAGTGTATCCGAGACTGGTAAAACTTGGTTAATACAAATCACTTGAGTGAATCAAGAATTTATATGGTTTATAAATGAAAAGTAAATCTAGTGAGTGGCCTAGCTACCAATTATGCAGGCAGTCCTTAAGGATTTGCATCAGGTGCGGTAGGACAGGTGACCTGTGCAGCAAGCATGGAGATGACAGAAGGCAGCGAAGAGCCATGGAAGTCACCAGACATGTCCACATTTCATTCCTTACAGGAGGGCACTAGCAGCTGTGTTCCTCCACTGTAACTGTTTGACTTGGGAATGCCAGGGCAAATTAATATGAGGTCAGTTTGGAAACAGCTATTAGGTTTAGGTTCATAGAAAAGAATCAGATGTAAAAAATGCCATCCCAAACTAACTTCATTGGTCTTCTAGGAATTGTCTTAATTCCAGGAATATCCCAACTATCAGCCAGAGACATACTATATCGACTCCAGGTGTCAAAGGCCACATGCATCATTACCAATGACACACTGGCTTCTGCTGTGGACTCAGTGGCATCTGAGTGTCAGTTTCTGAAAACCAAGCTAATCGTGTCCAA